GTACTGGCTGCATGAGTGTGTTGGAAAACAAAAATGACACAGGTAGAGCTGTGCTTAGATCCATCAATAAAAATCTACTGTGACTTCACTGTGGATAAAGGAAAAAAAAAAAAAACAAACACAAAACCAACAGTGAAAACTCAGAATTATCAAAAACAACTTTGTTCCAGAAAGCAGGGATGAGTCTGAAGCCAAATATTACTCTGCTAAGGGAGGAGAAACCAGCAGTTACAGCTTAAGTTTTCTCCCATGGCTAACAAAAATAATCTAACCACCACAAAAAGTTCAAATATGTAAGTAACATAAATCTGCAGAATGTTTTTTGAAAGGGTGAGGAGTGCACAGAGACAAACCTGATCGGTCCATTTCGATCTTCTGCTTTCCGAAGTCTGAGCAAGGGTGCAGAAGCTTTTACTGCAACAAATTCTACATCTGGGAAAGGGGGATCTAAAAAGTAAACAAAATACCAGTGCTTCAGAGAGGTTTTAGAAATATTTCAGGCATGAGAGTTCCTACCTATTTTTCCCCCAAAATTTCGTCTATTAACTGGGCCTCAAAGCCCTGAAGGCTAAAGTCTGCAGGCAATATAAATAGTCTGGTCAAGAAAAACACAGAGCAAATACGAACATGATGGCATGGCAGCCCCAACTCAAACCCCTGTATTGGAAGTATATCTGCTAGCTGGGAAAAAGAGAGATGCCCAAAAATGATGGTAGACTACAGAGAAATGTGACAGGAAAGATTTGTTGGAAGAAGCAGTATTATTTATTAGACTAACTAAAATGGTCAAGGAGAACAAAAAGATGAAACTCCGTGCACATAGCCCACTACAAAAAATAAAATAGTATGAGTAAAGGAGAATCTATTAGCTCCAAAAGCACTTTAAAGAAGGCAACTTCCTTAGTTACTGCTCACAGTCAGCTAGCAATATCCAGCCCCTTAAAACTGGATTTCAATATGGATACAGAGCTCTAATTTGTTTTAGTGGGAATTTGCATCCAGGCTGAAACTGAACAAATACTTCTGCCTCTAATTTCAATGGCAATGATGACAGCTGCACACTGACAGAGACTGGTGCTACGATAATGGAAATTACCACTATCAGCCTGGAAGCAAAAATGAAAAGAGCTTCATTGCGCACAACCGAGGGGGCAGAGTGTGAAGCACAGATACTATCTACCCCAGAAGTCCGAAAGAACTAGCACAGATAATTACAGGTATGGCTAGGCTGCTTGAAAACTGGTCTATCAAGCTGTTGTGTGATATCTGACTAAAAAGTAACAAATGCAGTGCTTATATACAGAAAACCAAGGCTTCAGAACACCATTAGAAAGAATAATCAATGTCATGGAGACAAACAAAAGAAAACCAATGCAGATTTGCCAAAGTTAAGTCACATCAGGCAAAACCTTGCTGAGATGCATGGATTTTTCAAACAACTGGAATACGGATAGCTGCACATGTACGTTGAAACACAGAAAATCATTAGTTCAGCAGAAGAAAATGAGGCTTGATAGAAAAACTGTGAAGTGGGTAAGTAACTGCTAAATAGGGAGCTAGCAAAATATAGCATGTTGGAAGCAGATGTACTGGGGTACAGGAAGGTTATTAGAGGAGTTCCTCCAAGACTAAACAAAGTCTGGCATTTTGTTAACAATCATGGTGCAAAATCGAGGCGCGTACAGATGAATTTTGCTGCTCAGTGTTAGACAGTGTAAAACAAAAGCCGTATGGAGACAATATACAAGAAGAACTGAATCACCTTTACAGCTGAGAAATGGGATTAAATTCACCAGTATGAAGTACAAGGTGATTCAAGTCAAGTCACATTAGTGACTTGAGGCTACTAATAAGAATTTTTTACTATATATTCTAAGTTCCTTTGAGTAGTAGGAAGAGCATATTAGTACATCTCAGAATGAG